CTGGGAATGTGGGAAATAAACTGGGAAGGTAGGAAATAAACTGGGAAGGTGGTAAATAAACTGGGAAGGTGGGAAATAAACTGGGAATGTGGGAAATAAACTGGGAAGGTAGGAAATAAACTGGGAAGGTGGGAAATAAACTGGGAATGTGGGAAATAAACTGGGAAGGTAGGAAATAAACTGGGAATGTGGGAAACTTCAAGGTTCAGGATTTGAAGGAATGAATCACAATGACCGTCTGATCACTAATGCACCATCACACCTTTGCTTTCATCAAACTAGGTGAAAGTTAAAGCAGATCTATGATTATTAACTCTAATAACAGGAAGGAGGTTCTATGTTATATTTTCTGCTTCTTGTTTAATTATAAACAATAATTCCTGCTGGAGTCGATCTGGACGTTCTGCAGCCTGAAGGTCCATCCTGGTCCTTCAGGCGTCCTGGACCCAAAGCTGGCTGCTTCACCGCAATGACCCGACTAAAGGTGTGACCGGACCAGAACCGTACCAGAACCAGCTACTCTGCTTCCTGAAGACAGCCTCACGGTTTTAGGAAAATGGCTTTTATTGGACATTTTGAGCACATTATAAAAAACTGTAAATGAAGAAAGATAAAATAAGCCTGAAGGTGGATCTGAAGGCTCCACCAGGTCCAACTGGAGGAGAACCGCCTCAGGTTGGTACCTAAACTCATGAACAGTCGTACAAACATCAGAGGATCTCTACGCTCACTACATTTCTATGCTCTAGTCCTTAATGGCCGCCTCCTGCTCGGTGCGTCCAGCATCTGAAGCCAGAAGTCGATTCATCACAGTTTCTGCTCAGAAATGTCTGGGCTTGATGAAGGCATGGAGGTCCATCAAACATCTAGTCATCTAAAGGAGGGTCTAAACAGACGTTTCCCTGCAGGCTTCTGGTATCAAAGGGAACCTGAAGTCAACATCAGAGCAGGGGCTCCATCCGGCTGCTGGCCCCCACCTCTAAGGAGTCCCCCAGGTCAAACAGCTGCTCCAGGTTGGAGCAGTTCAGGAAGTCCCCGCAGCCCTGATCCTCGTCCTCCGGCCAGGGGGTCTCCAGGAAGGCCGTAGCCAGGAGCGTCTCCTCGTCAAAGTCTGAAGCATCGCTGCTCTGCGGAGCGGCTCCTCTCTGCCCCCCCCTCTCTGCTGGGCCCTCTTCTTTCATGACGGGGCTCAGAGGGTCCCCTCCATCCAGACTCAGCTCCCCTCTGAGGGCCGAGTCCAGCAGGCCGTCCCAGTCGAAGGGTCCTTTCAGGGGTCCGGCCTCCCTCGGTTCGTCCACGCAGAACAGCGGAGAGCTGGACCGGCGGGACGCCTTGGAGGCGCCGTTCCTGGACCCCAGCTTCCTCTTGTAGCCGTTCCTCTCCCCGGTGCCGGGCCAGGAGCCCAGCATGGTCCCCTCAGACAGACGGGGGTCCCTGTTCTGGTGCTGCTGGGTCTCCTCTTCAAACTCCCGGAGGAACCGCTTGGACTCTGCAGACACGTTCAGACCCGCAGGAGTCCCTGCAGATGGAGCCGGCAGGCTGAGTCCCAGCCGGGTCTGCAGGGCAGGGTTGATCTGGACCGGAGGCATCCTCCTCTTCTTGTAGGCGCCGCTCAGAAGGCGTTCGGTGTACTGGGGGTCGATCTTCCAGAAGCCGCCCTTCCCCGGTTCGTCCTTGTTCCGCGGCACCTTGATGAAGCACTTGTTGAGGGACAGGTTGTGGCGGATGGAGTTCTGAAGAGAAAAACCAAATGATTTATTCTGATAGACTAATGAAGGAGGAACAGGTTGGGAGGTGCTGCTCCTCCTCTGTGAACACAGCTTTGACCCGCTGACCTCTGTTAAACATTATCTGCACAAGTTCTGCCAAACAATAACAGAAAGCTTTGAGGCCTCATCAATCATTTATGCTGCTAAATGAAACTATGCAGGGAAATTCCTGCTGAAGGAAAACCTTTGACTAGGACATCCTGCTATGAAACATCCTGAAGGAATAACCCCCCCTCTGGGGGGGCTCAGATAAAGGAGGAAACGACACGTCCTGTCCGCTGTCTGCATACAGTAGGCTGTGTGAGGCGTGTGTGACGTCATGCAGCTACCTGCCAGGTGGGGTCCGCGTGCCTGTAGTAGCAGAAGTTGTCAGTGATCCACTGATAGATGCAGGACAGGGTGATCTTGCTCTGCTTGCTGGCCTGCATGGCCATGCAGATCAGCGTGGCGTAGGAATATGGCGGCTTGACGCGCGGGTCGCTCCGGTAGTCCACCTCCGCAGGGCAGTGGCCGTGCGCCACCAGCCCCGGCAGGGTCTGCATCCTGCTGAATGCCGCCGCGGTGGGCTTCCCCGGGGTCAAGGGCGCCCCCATGGAGGAGGCGGGGTCCGCGGCCAGAGGGGAGGCCGGCCCCTCGGGTCCCAGCTGCTGCTGGACGGGCTGCGGCCCTGGAGCTCCCAGGATGGAGAACTCCTGCAGCCACTGGAGGCTGGTCAGGCTGTCATCCAGGCCGCTGAAGCCGGAGTCCCGCTGCCCAGCCTGGGCCTCCTCCTCCTCCTCCTCCCGGCCCTCCGGGCGCAGACACAGCATGGCTCCCCTCCGGCCTCCTGCCGCTGCAGACAGACAGAACCCAGCCCAGCAGGACCCTGGATGAACTGGGTCTTAAAGTGAAGAAGTCTGTGAGTTTTCAGGAAACTTTCCTCATCCATCCTGGATCTGTGCTGCTGCAGGAAGCTGATAGACCGGATCCTGCAGAGCAACTTGAATCCAAACTCACCTGGAATCACCTGGAAAGGAAACCTTTGGATCCGAACTGCGCAGAACTTCCAGAAGTTGAGATGGACTCCTGCAGCCGCCCAGTGGCTCCCAGTCAGCGCTCTGAGGGCTCTGCTGGGGAGCCAGTTTAATACCTGCTGACTGCCATGGTAACGGGACAGCCCCGTGTAAACAGCCTGCTGCTCCCCCATTGGCCGCCGGTTTCCATGGAGCTGCACTTTCAATCAACCTGAAGCTGAGCGCTCAGGTTCCCGGCCTGAGGTCCGGGGCCTTTCCAGGGGCCCCTCTGGAGTGAAAGATGAACCTTACTGGTCGGGGCCACTTCCCAGAACTGGGAACACTGGGAAAGGAACTGGATGTAATATTTGGTTTGAAACCAGATGCTGCAAAATCTGCTGCATAAAAAAAACATCATTTGATTTTATACCAAATATCAGATGAACTGAGAAAGAAACAATTTCTTCCTCCCTGCATCTTTAAAAAAATAGAATAACAAATAAAACCTTTTTATTTTGCATTTTGAGGCTTTAGCTGAACGATGATAAACATCCTGATGTTTCTCCTTTCAGCTAAACTGATGCAGAAGAGCGTCTCTATAGAAACATCCAGAATAGATCAGTTTGTTTAACTCTTAATTATAACTCAGTTTCACCAATTACACCAATAATTGATCAATTCAACTTCCTTATAACACCAAGAAAATCCTGAACTTAATCTTTAAAAACATCTAATCATTTTCATGACAAAAACAGAAACAAACATCCTAATTTGATCAATAAAAATAATTAAAATCAAAAACATTCCAGAACCTTTATAATAAGATAATAAGATGATAAAACTTTGGATACAATGAAGGGATTTCTTAAAGCTTTAAATCAACTTTATTTTCATCTTTTACAAAGATTGTTGAAATTTTTATGCAAAAAGCTTTTCAAGATTTAACGAGCAGCTTAACAGTCTATGGTGGGGGGGTGAGGGGTCATTGATGATGTCACGGGCTCGGGACACGCAGCGCTGGGATGAAATGTCTTTAATGGAGGGAAGAGG